TACAGGGTACAGGGTACAAAAAAAGCTTACCCTGCACATCTCTACTACGCATTTAGTTTTTATATGTTAATTTTTATGTATGAATTCTATTTATGAAATTAAATATTTCATCATTATAAAAAGCATATATATAGGATATAACATGAACATACTTCGGAATTAGTAGAGTTTTCTTGACTTAACCGACGATAAATCGGTCTGTTTAATATATTCAATTAACGAACTAGTCCTTTCGAGAAAACGACATACAGTATGAAATTCATATAACTCTTGAAATTTCTCATGAAGACAACTATTGTTTTACTCTGACACGTTCCATATACACTAATATATGACAATAGAAGGAAAACTTTTTTTTTTGATATTTGTGTAATGAAAGTATGAACTGATAACTACTAGCTATTGAACATTTCTGATAGTCAGTTACAAGTAGTTCAAAAGACTCAACTCGAAATTGCAAAATGGAAAACTGAATTTATCTTCTAATGACTGACTACTTTTTCGTGATCATAATCAATACATTAAGCATGATCCGAGATCCTTATTGTACTGTAACAAAGGTTGAGTTCAGAATTTAGACTTGAGATTTTGATGACGAATAGAAATTTGTTTTTGGCTTATATTTTTTAATCGTTAATGCCGTAGAAATCAATAAAAACGAGCAAATTAGACAAGCTTTAATGCTTTAAATACTTGTGAAATCGGTCGATCCAGTTCCAAGTAGGAACACGTAGCTAGTGAGAATTGATAGATTAAATCAGCACGATAAAAAATGGTACATATAAGATCTTATACCCTGAAAACATGACCTTAATACTGCTTATCATTTCTCGATTGAAACAGTTCTCAGTAATGTCATTTACATTATTGTAAAAAATGTAATGTAATCTGAAATTACGGACAAAATAAAAACAACAATGAGGGTTGATGACATTTTTTTTTACCGTCTGCTGTTCGATGATTGTCTTTGAATCGATTTTTTGCTCATATGAAAAGTCATTATTATTGTTGCAAAGCTTGATTTTGATTGACATAGTCTTACTACATAAAAAAAATGTTTGTTTTAGGTGCCGCTAGTACAGCACGAGCATTAAGTTCTTATTTTGATTCTCTAATTAATTTTGCAATGAGAACCTATTTTATACAACATTTACCATTACATTCTGGAATATTTTCAGAATATGCAGATTTATTTGCTATGGGTTTATGTCTTGTTATAACTCGTAAGTTAAAAAAAAAATAATAATAAATAAAAATTTTTAATTAAATAAAAATTTATTTTTGTAGTTCTTTTGGTGATTGGTATTAAAGAATCAGCAGTATTAAATAATATTCTTACAGCTGTTAATCTTACTGTTATTGTTACTGTTGTTATTGCTGGTTTAACTGTAGTTAATAAACATAATTGGAATATTTCACCAAATGAAGTAGATATTTTTTTTTTCTAATGAAAATTGATTGTGAATATTTCTAAATTTATTAGGTAGAAAATATAACCAATAGTACAAAGATTATTGGTAAAGGTGGATTTTTTCCATTTGGTTTTGAAGGAACATTAGCTGGTGCAGCAACATGTTTTTATGCTTTTGTTGGTTTTGATCTTGTTGCAACAACTGGTAAAAGAAATTATTTTTATTTCAATTAAAATAAGTTTATTTGTTCTCCTCTCTAGGTGAAGAAACTAAAAATCCACAACGAGCTATTCCAATGTCTATTTGTTTAACATTACTTATTTGTACAATAGCTTATTGTGCTGTATCAATTGTTGTTACATTGATGGTAAGAAATTTATTAGAATTGCAATAGATATAAGTGTGTAAAGAAGAATGAGAATGTTATACGATAAATAGGACTCAAGAAATTAAAACCGATTGCGAAACTACTTAACTTATAAGCCATCTTCAGGATTTAAAAGTTTTCAAAGTAAAGCCTACATTAAAATAGAAAGAATATCGAATGATTACAGTAAAATTGTCTTAACGGATGAGCCGAAAGTTTTGAAAAAAAAAATGTTTGTTTATTTTTTGACTACCTTAAAAATGTTCCCGATAAGTCAAAAGATATGAGTTATAACCAGAATATAGTGCTCTTTCGGAAAGTTCACTTAGAATTTTTCTGTTAAGTTGTTGTTGAGACTAATAAGCTAATATTTGAAAGGTCTAAAAACTAACGGGTGTCCCAGGGAAAATGGGCCTCTCAGTATTTTTAAGATTTCTCCTCTATTGTCCCTGTAATTAAAGCTCTTTTTATTATCAAAAGATAGCGCTCGAAATTCTCTACAAAATCATATATGACTAGGCCTAAAAGCTGTTTTAGATATATTTGAAAAAAGACAAAAACTGAAGACATACAAGCAACTGTAAAATTTAAATGGCACCAATAATAAACGGCTGCACTTTGTATTTCATATTGTAATCTCTAAATACGTTTTATTAAAAAAGCAAAATATACCATAAGATGCAGCATGAAAAGCTCTACAATCTACAAACTAAAGTTTATTTTAATTGTATACTTTTTGTTTTCAGAAAAAAAGCAAAACTCTGTGCGACAGATTTCAAGGAATTTGGAGTTATTTTGAACTTAAAAATGGCACAAATAAAATAAA